GTCTCCAGTCTCCAGTCTCCAGTCTCCAGTCTCCAGTCTCCAGTCTCCAGTCTCCAGTCTCCAGTCTCCAGTCTCCAGTCTCCAGTCTCCAGTCTCCAGTCTCCAGGTCTCTGCTCAGAAGTTGAGCTTTTTTTTTTTTTTTTTTTTTTTGGGCTGAGTTTAGTTATTAGGTTTCGACTTTCTCCCCCTGGATTTTTGGTCATATTCCTAAATAAAGGATTTTACTTTTTCAACCGCTCCTGCCTGTGTGTGTTCTGGATTTTCTGCACCTTGGGTCCAAACCTCCTGCTCTCAACGTGACACCTTCTTAGTGTTCTACAAGGTGCTTCACAACACAGTCAGTCACATGATAAATGACCTGCACTTGTATAGCACCTCTCTGAGTAAGGACTCAAAAGCGCTTTACACTACAGTGTATCATTCATCCATTCACACACTGGTGGAGATGAGAGGCGAGGCTGCCGAGTACAGGCGCCACCGGACCCTCCGACCACCACCAGCAGGCAAGGTGGGTTAAGTGTCTTGCCCAAGGACACAACAGCAGCATTCTCTAATCAAACCTGCAAACTTCCGATTAAACGGTTCTACCTTCGGAGCTACTGCTGTCCCTGAATACATCCCAGTTTTTATTTTAAAATAAGCTGCTCTGTAAGGAACACTCTCACATTCTGGATTCTGTCTGTGGGGATTAGCGCTATTTCATATATAAAGAGCGTTGGGTTGGCCGTTGAGTGAAAAGCTTTTCTCACAGCCAACTCAACAGCGCCACATGGGGTTAAAATGTGCTTTTTTAATAGCAAAACTGGCAATAACACCAAAACATCAACTACGTCAATCATGATATAATTGGAAGGGAAGAAAAGTCCCACCTGTGGGGGAACATTGTGTGAAACGGCTCATAAACCGACTGTGTGAAACCGTTCTGCCAGCTTCTATTTTCAGGTCCAAGATGAAGCTGTGAAAGTTTAGATGTAGAAAAATGTCTCCACACATGTTGAAGAAAGGTTGTATCCACAGCCAACAACAGCACACTTCAGCTTGTTTTCCTGTTTAATTGTGTGATTTGCTAAAAAGCTGACCTCAGAGTTGCAGGAAAATAAACGGCTATGATCCGACACCTGTGTTGGGTTTCCCTGTAACTGCCTGTCACTCTTGTCAGCTGTGTGTCACTGTGACTGGTGACGGTGACAGCCGTGTCAAGCAAGTATTACAAAGAGCTGATACTGTCCCCGAGGACAACAGTCTGTGTCTGCTGCTGTCTCCTCCCTCTCAGAAGGTCAGTAGTAGTTTTTTTTATTCATCCCGTAACAAAGAGAAGCTTTGATCTTTCTGATATTAGAGTCATTATTTCATTTGTGTCTATGTTGTTTTTCTCTCCTTTATCTCATCAACTCCACTCATCTCCATCCCTTTTCCTTTGAGTTTTCCAGAACCTCCACATGCATTTCCTCCCATGCACGCGCATTCAGTGGTGTCCCTGAAACTGGGTTATGTGTAACTTCGAATAGCCTTGCTTTGACAATAGAAAGAGCCCAGGGTTCATCCTCCCCTCTGTGCACCCATCCGCCACTCCTCAGATGTAAAGAAAACATACACGTCGGTATCCACACGCACACGTGCAGCTGCATGTGCAGAAATCCCTTTATTATTCGCAGAGGGGGACGCTTCAAGGTCATTGTCCCGTTAAGACTGTGTAACACTAAAGTATACATGAGGGAGCAGAGGCAGAAGTTCTGGGCACCAAATAGACACACTCAGACACCATAACCTAGATGCAAACCATTAAACTCATGTCACACGTGCACACCTAATCCGATTAGTAGGAAACATTAAAAAGGCATGAAACGCTGCTTAATATTAGGTTATTTCATAATCATCCTTATTTACAATGCATGCTGGGAAATGTGAGGTTTTCACAGTTTAGGTCAGGACAGCGTGAGAGAAGGGGAGACCAGGAGGAGAACAAAGGAGCAGACTGGGCAGGGATGACAAAAAATGAAAGGAAAGTTTAAGGAGTGAGAAAATAAAAAAGAGAAAAGGGAATAGTTGGAACTCTAAACAGCCAAATGTCAAAGAAGATTGGGTACAGGAAAAAGAAAAGGTACTCTAAAGGTCACAAGAGACATGTGAGGATGTTTTTATTTTCCTCTCCTCCTCCGTCATCCTTTGTTTAATCTGTACTTTTTTATGCTTTAACCCTCTCACAGCCACATTTATGGGAGCCTGACTCAAACCAGAGTCAGAAACATTTCAGCTTAAATGTCAGCAAAGTCCCTGGAGACGGTTTGGGATCAGTCACACATGAGAGAAACTCTCAGGGGATTTAAACTAATTAGTGAGTCTAAGAAAAAGGAAAATGAATGAATGAATGAATCCTGAAAACTCTTTCACAACAGGCCTGGCTGTTGAATTTACAGCAGATATTAAAAAAATAAAACATCTGCAACACTTCTGGTCAGATGATCAGGTTTCTGGCAGAACGGTGTGTGATGTGAAACTGATATCAGTGTTGAGTCAGGCTGAAAGGATTCCTCATATCATTTCTTTAGTAAAAATGTGTTCCTGATTAAAACAGGCTTCCTTCAGACGCAATGACTTTTTACAATGATAGCAGCAAGAGACAGCATCCTGAATCCTCCTGCAAGAACAGGCAATCATAACGCTGCCTTCATTTTTGTAGTTCTACAAGCTTGTCTACACGTGATTATAAAAAACACCGTCTGTAGTAATGATAATTACGTGTTCTTACTGAAGGAGTCGTGAATTGCTGATGCTCTCCACATCCAGCACAATGACCTTAGCATCCCAGATGTACTGAAGAACTCATCGGCCATCAAAGTGACTCAACATCAAAGAAAGATTTCCACAATAAAACAGTTAAAAGTTTTAGGCTTGTTAAAGGAAGTAACTGTTGTAATCAAGCAGGCCGGGTCTCTCATTTAGACTTAGACTTGTTTTTATTGTCTTATTCAACAAACACACCACTGGTGTGTGTGTCAAATGAAACATCAATGCTGGGATCGCAGTACAAGTACACAAGTACAAGTACACAGTAGTTTCCTGAGTAACATTATGGCTAGACAGACTTTACCCCCCTCTAAAGCCAGTGAGTCTGCCATAAATGAACATAATTCATGCACAGAATGGTGACTCATAGCTTTCTAATTTAAAAACTAGTGTTCTGAACAGGGTTTTCTATAATAAACACATTAAAGTTGATTTTTTTTCTACTGGATGGCAGAGGGGAAAACCACAGCTTTAACAAGTTGAAAACAATAGTATCCAAGTACTCCAAAGAAATATATTTAAAATAAACTCTTGATTACTAAAATACTCAACAACTGCAGCCCTAATCAGGGTTCTAAATTTAGTATCAAATAGGGATGCACCAATTCTGATTGCATTTTATCTTAAAAGCATTAACAGACAGCTTCTCTGTGTCTCTGACATCTTTTAAATTAAGATTATGTAAATAGAAACTTCCAGATAGCTTGTGTGAAAAAGTAAGTGTACGGACTGAAAGAATGTCAATTTTAATGTTGCTGCTTTGTTCATGAACAGAAGGGAGAGATGATCTTTGAGATGGTTGGGCCATGAAGCCAATCCTCTTCACAAGACCATGTTAGAGCCTTTAGTGATGACGCTGTCAAATGAACTTCTTTAACCTTTTTCACTTTAGAGCTGTTAAATACATCTGCTGTGAGGTCGTTCAATGAGGTCAAATCTGTTTTTCATAACTTTTACAGAACCCCACTTAACTAAACTGTTTACATATGAGTTTGATGGAAAGTGAAGCATCCTCACCTCCGATTGTATGTCTGCTGCACACAGTAAAAGGCTGGGTGTCTTTTTCATGTCATGTTTCATCAATTATGGAAGCATCAGTTAAAGAACAAGAGCTGTTTCACCCTCAATATGGAAGCTGCCGCTAATCTGCTTCCTTCTTATGTTTATTTATTTGGCAGACACTTTTATCTAAAGTGACAAACAATTGTGAACCTACAGGGCATGTTGTGATCTGTAGGGGAAACTGGATACGCAGAGGAAACCCACGCATGCATGGGGAGAACATGCAACTCCACGCAGAATAGCCACAACCAAGTTTTGAACCTGCAACCTTTTTGCTGTGAGAACCCAGTGCTAACAACTACTCCACCATGCAGACTTGTGTTTCGTTTCAGAATAAAACTTAAATGTCATGCGACATTTCAGCTCAGGTTGAAAGTGCCTTACTGTGTGTGTGTGTGTGTGTGTGTGTGTGTGTGTGTGTGTGTGTGTGTGTGTGTGTGTGTGTGTGTGTGTGTGTGTGTGTGTGTGTGTGTGTGTGTGTGTGTGACTCATGTTGTGAGGACATGTTTGGGTTCAGCTCAGGGAAGAAACCGACAAAAAGGTGAAAGAATCAACTTCTTGCACTCAAAGTTTAAAAAAAATCCTTTCAAAATAAGACAGTTTTTTTTTTCTTGTATGGAGCAGCAACTCACGTGTTAGTGCGCGAGGCAAGCGTGTCACCATAATTTGAAGGTGCTATGGGCTGGGCCAAGTCATCAATCACGCGGATCGAAGGCGCAACTTTAAATCACTATCTGCCGCCGGGAGCGGTGACAGCGGAGCGGGAACCGGCTGCAGAGAGAGGCTGCTGTGGACTCACGGTCATCCATCAACAAGTCCTTACTCATGGACCCGAGCACTGCCAAGTGCGCACAACTTAGAGCCACGCGCACGGAGTGAGCGCTTGAGCAAAGCGGTTGGGGCAGGCTGAACGGTAACACCTGTAACTAAACGGACAGTATGCGTAAAGACCGAACTGCATGAGGGGTGGTGGGGGGTTACTGACCCCACACACACCTGATAGAACCACAACCTGACAGCAGATCCCTGCTGATGCTGATGGAGGATAGCAGAATGACATCATGGGGACTGTCTGTCACATCTGGAGAGGATCACATCTGGCTGATGCTCTAAACCTACACACACACACACATACAGAGACGAACACACACCTTCTCAGTCCGCTGAGGTCACATTGAGTCCCGTCTGGTCGCTACAGCAGCAAAGCCCGGACCGTGCGAGTTCTTCCTCTCTCCGGTCCGCCTTGGTCCGGTCGCGTGTCCTTACGTGTGATCCAACGGCTCAGAGAGGGCGAGCCGTGCATGTGCGCATCCAGCCCCCACCAGTCCAGCGCCATCAAGCGCCTCTCGCGATACCGACCCATCATCAGCTCGGTTGAGTGACGTAGCTCTCTCGTTTATGCTTTATGGTTCGGCCCGATGCCGCCGCCTCCTGGGCGCGTGGCGAGCTGACTGAGCTCGAGGATGCTGCTGATATGACGTCACCCGGTCCGCGCGGCCTCACCTGACTGATCTTTCACCTTCACCTGGTGTCGTTCTTGTCTCTCTGCGTGAGACACGGAGAGGACATCTGCTTCCTGTCTGGACCAGGAGCCGCGCCAGTAGGTCAACAGAGAGGTGAAAGGTCACGGCGGGCTGCAGTCTGGGTATTGGACACTCCTCTCTCTCCGCAGGTAGAACAATGTTGGTGCCATAATTTATCCAATAATGTTTTTAAACAACCAACGCATCATTTTCATGACACAAAGCTCCATCTGATCATTGTTAATTTATGTTTCTAGCTTTTGAATTTCTATAATGCTTTTGCATTTAAAGGTTTTAGTAATGAATATCTGTTTCATTGTTGTGCATTTTAGTTACTTTATCTTACTTGTTAATGTCTATAAATCTTTACTGCATTTGTTTACCTTAGTACTTTTGACAAATTAGCAAAACTTTTCAGTTATTTGTTTATAATGTCCCCTAGAAATAAATGTGAACTGAACCACTTCTGCATACCTAAAACATGATAGGACCAGAGGGTGTTTTGTTATATCTTTATAATGTTCTGAACCTCTGAAATCAAAGATATTTATTCCTAAATACACAATTGTATAACAAAAAGTAAATATATCAGTTATACCAATTAAAGCATGAAATCTCTAACCTTTGATTTTTCTAATAATTTATTATTTATTTATTTATTTATTTATTTATTTAGCACATTCATTGAGCAGTTACATTTGTTGTATTCTTTCAAATTTCACAACATTACAACAACAATGCTCAAACGGAGTAGGCTGAGGCAAAGAAGCTTATGTGCACCTACCCCACATTACAATATTGTACCATTTACAATATTAGACTTTTTGACAGTAAATGTTTTGTTAATGAACCTTTCATGCATATTTTGTTATTCAATTTCATATTTTGTACTGTTCTTTTATATAACAAAACATAGTCAGAATAAAACCAAGAAGCTTTTCCATCACATATTCTCAACATATTTCTCAATAACAGTCATCTTATATTGTCTTTTAAATAGTAGGAGACTAGCAGCACTCTGTAAGTTGTTACCTAAACCATTCCAAAGCTTAACACCTCTTCTGGATATGCAGTGAGTTTTGAGGGCTGTGCGGGCACATACCACCTTGAAATTATTTGATCCCCGCAAATCGTATCCACCCTCTCTATCAAAAAACAGCTGTTGAATATTGATTGGTAATTGATTGTGTCTTGCTTTGTACATAATTAACATTGACTTTAGATTAACTAGATCTTCAAGTTTTCAGATTTTAGACTTCATGAAAAGTGTATTAGTATGGTCTGTGAAACCAACATTATGTACAATCCTGATAGCTTTTTTTTAAAGTCTAATGGGCTCGACACACGGGAGGCGACAAACGACCGCGATCAGCGAAATTTGTCGCTGTCGCTTTTATTACCTGACACACGGGAGGCGATCCGCGGCAGCGGCCAGCGGCAAAGCCGTCTACGCGTTCTGTTAAATGGCGAAATCGAAACTTCCGTTGTTTTGCTTGGCTGTGTCAGGTTGGAGGGAATTAAGGTTATTTAAGCAGTTCAGAGTTTAAAAAAGTGGTAGATATGATGTTTCACAAGGTTCTGCTAGAGTTATGTGAAATCTTACTTCTGATTTTACCAAATAAAACATAATAATAATCAACTTCTCCATGTTTGCTCGGAGATGTACGGAGCATCCTGTCCGCTCATTGGTCAGTGAATGAAACCTCCGTTGATTGGTCCTCGTCCGAGCGACAGCGATGAAAAGTTGAAAATGTTTCAACTTTCTGGGATCGCGTCGCTGGGTTGCCTGTGCACGACACGTGCACAAGCGCAAAATTTCACACGCACGTTTTTCGCATTTCGCTTGGTAGGAGGGAGACCCGCGATTATCACTTTGTTGCGCATGTCTCATTGAAAATGAATGGAGGAGATGCGATGTCGCCTCCCGTGTGTCGAGCCCATTAATACTGCCTCCAAATGGCTACTGTAGGTATTACCCCAGACCTCTGCGCGGTAGCTAAGATGGGGGAGAATAAATGCATAATACAAGATTAGTAGAGCTTTGTTGTCCAGAAGGAATTTACATTTTCTCATAATTGCAATGTTCTTTGCCAATGTCTTTTGTATGCCATGTATATGAGATCTCCAGTTGATATTGTGAGTAACTGACGCTCCCAGAAATCAATACCCATTTACCTTTTCTATTTCATTGTTGTCCATTTTGATTCTGATTTCAATGTCTTTAGTTTGTTTACCAAACAGCATCGTTTTTGTGGTCCTAAGACTGAACCTTGAGGGACTCCACAATTTGTATTTCAGTCTTGACCTGTGATTATTTATCTGTGCATATTGCTGTCTGTCGGTTAAGTAAGATTTCACCCAGTTATATGCAATCCCCCTAATCCCATTTTGTTGTAATTTATTTTAAAGTTTTTCATGGTCTATTTTATCAAAGGCCTTTTGGAGGTCTATAAATATGCCAATAGAATACATTTTACGATCCATTTTTTTGGTTACCTCTTCTATGAGATCTAAGAGCAGTTGATCTATTTTGTCTAAATCCATATTGACTATTATTGAGTAAGTTGTATTTTTCAATGAAACCGTTCATGCGTTCCACATACAGTTTTTCCAATTCCTTTGATAACTGAGGAAGTATAGTGATCGGCCGATAGTTAGTGATCTGATGTTTTTCTCCACTTTTATAGATTGGAGTGACTTTTGCTGTTTTCATCCATTTGGGAAACTCTCCACTTATAAAAGATAAATTGCAGATATGGATTAAAGGTGTTGCCATATTAAGTATTACCTGTTTTATTATAGTCATGTCAAGATCATTGCAATCAGTAGACTTTTTATTTTTACAGTTATTAACTATTTTGATGATTTCATTTTCATTTGTTGGTGATTGAAATAAAGAGTGTGCATTATTATATGTATTCGTACTGTCAACGTCACTATTTGATTTTGATATTTTAGAGGCAAGTTGTGGTCCGATGTTAACAAAATAGTCATTAAAGGTATTAAGAATAGTGTTCATCTTTGTTGTTTTTTCACTGTCAGTTATATAATCTTGGAAAACAGCTCTGTTAAAATCCTTATTAATGGCTTGATTTAACACCGTCCATAGTCCATTCATATAATTTTTATTTCTTTCAATCAAATTTCTATAATAATTTTTTACATTGTTTTATTATATTTATTAATTTATTTTTATATTTCTTATATTTGGTTTCCGATTCAAATGTTCTCTTCCTCATGTGTTTTTTATACAAGGTATTTTTCTTTTTGCATGCTTTCAATAACCCTTTTGTCATCCATGGGCTAATTCTTTTTATAGGTGTATATGTACAGGTTTTAGCTGGACAATCTTTGTCATATAGTTCTTTAAATATGTCAACAAAGTTTTGATACGCTTCATTTACATTATTTTCTCCAAGAACATTGTTCCAGTTTTGTTCCGAAAGGCTTTTGTTAAGAACACTTATTGAAAGTTCAGATCTCAGTCTGATTTTCTTTCTTACAGTATCACTTCTATTTTCTGTGTTTGTGCTGTATTCTTGGCAAGTGGTCACTGATATCATTAATAAGTAGTCCACTCGATATGCTGGTATTCATAACGTTTGTAAAAAAAATTATCAATTAAAGCAGAGGAATATGCAGTGGTCCTGGTGGGATGAGTGATCACTGGGAATAATGAAAGACTGTACATGGTATTTATGAATATTTCTGTAGGTCTGTGTAATTTTGATTTTAATAGATCAGAATTAAAGTCCCCACAAATAAATATTTCTTTGTTGTTGGCTTTTATTTAAAAACCTCTCTATATAGTTAATGAATACTTCCATGTCAGTACCTGGAGCTTTGTAAATACAAGCTATAAGAACATTTTTCCTTTTATCCATAATTATTTCAACTGTTACACATACAAACAGATTATCCATGGTTGTAGTCATGCTTTCCACCAATTTTGCATCCAAATCTATATGCACATACAGGGCAACTCCCCCTCCAAGTTTGTGGTTTCTATTTTGATTGTAGACCTGGTAATTATTTAAAATCCCCATATTTATTTTCATTTATCCATGTCTCAGAGAGTGCTAAAGTTCATATCTAATGTATTCAAATATTCTTTAAAGTTATCAAAATTTGCATAGAGGCTCCTGCAATTTATATGTAATACAGACATGTTATCAGATTTTATCGATACCTTCACTTGTTCATCTTGATATTTACAGCTATGAGAGATTTTGTTAAAGAAATGTAAGTCAGGGTCTACATTGTTTAATTCATTTGTTAGTTTGTGATCACTGAGTGTAAATATTTCTGAATCTAAATCATGAAAATAATCTTCATCTTCATTATCTGATGAGGATAGATCAGTAAATGGTATCTCAGCCATGGTGAGTACGTTTGGTTGAATGTTACCTTATAATCTCAAATATACTTATCTAGTTCAGAGCATTCCCTGATCTGGAGAACTTTGGCCTGTTCAGGAGTTCCATTTAACTTAATGAATATCCTGCAGTCAGCTGTCCAGGTTCCTTGGATCTTATTTTCTTTACGTAGTCGTTGAGCATGTCTGGCAATCTCAGAGTTGGGTTTTTTTGTGCCAAATGTTCGTTTATGTGTACATGTGTTCCTTTTAGATTTCTCCCTTGTTTGAATAAAGCTGTTTTTTTGTCTCTTGTTTGTAAATCTTAACATGATACTTGGTCTGACTCGTCTATCCTTACGAGGAAGCAGGTAGCAGGCTTCTACATCTTTACTGTCTAAAGTGATTCCTTTGCTGTTCATGAACCCAACGACCTGTTGCTCCACTGACTCCAGATCCCGTTCAGTTGCTACTCCATCTGATGCCGCTGCCCT